TCTAGAGCGCTGGGTACCCTGATCGCTCTCGATCTAGAGCGCTGGGTACCCTGATCGCTCTCGATCTAGAGCGCTGGGTACCCTGATCGCTCTCGATCTAGAGCGCTGGGTACCCTGGGCTCAGCAGGCAGGACACTTTGCTGGCTCTGAGCGGCTGCCAAAGCTCCAAAGGAACAAGCAACGCCAAGAGGAGCCGCTCTGCCCAGGTGCGATTGCTGACTGCTCTGGATCAGACCTCTGGCCCACCGACCGGCGTCCATTATCCTGCGTGCAGCCGTCACCAAAACCTAACGCTTCAGAGGACAGTAACAGGAGCACCACAGTTGTTCAGGGCTGCATGTTTGGGGTCAGGAGCAGCAATGCCAGGGGTCAGGGTCGGAGAGATTAGTTCAGGTCCTGAGGCAGGAGATCAGAGGGTCCTTGTCTGAGCATTTATAGCCACAAGCGCTATGCCCAGGAGATGACTGGGCCCTGTGATTTGTTTGATGTGTGAGTGAATATGAATGCTGGGGAAAGGTGCTAGAATAATTTAACCACAGAGTAAGTCCAGCAACAATGCAAGAGGGCAGGTTAGTCTGATGAGGGGCCAGTTACAGTGGCAGATTGACGTGGACATGGCTCCTCCTGGCACTAGATCCAGATCGAGCCAGCCACTACTGACTGGAGTAGTGCTTCGTAAGTTCGTCTCAGCATCCATGCTGTGGCCAAGCCCTGGGGCGCTAAACCTTGAAGGTCCAAGCAGGTTAATAAGGAGAAAGAAAGGGGCCTTGCTGGCTAGGGAGCCTGCGCTGCCCGATTAGCATCAGAACCTTCTCATACGGCCCCTGCCCTCTACACCCCCACCCTCCCACTTCCCTAACAAGGGAGGCTAGTGGTTCTGCTCACAGCTGCTTGGGCTGAGTGTGGACATGACCGGGGGGAACACTCATTCCAGCCTGAGCCGGGGAAAGGGCTATGGGTCCCCCCAGGATCCCCAGCGGCTGGGTAAGGGAACTTTCAGATGAAGATGCTGGTTATCCCGATTGGCTTGTATCCGGTGTCTCTGTGGGGACATCTAGGGAGGAGAGAGAGGTAGGGAGGGTACTCAGAGGAGCCAGGCAGCTTGAGGAAGGCACCTTCTGCACCAGCAGCTCTGATGTTCCCAGACTCTGCTCACAGCGCCCATCTCCCTTTGCCTGAGTTTCCGTGGTCACGATGCAGTCATTGCTGGCAGTGGGTCTGTGTCATAAGCTGCCAGGGAGTTAATGCACCTGTTTTGCTTTCACTACTGCAAACGCAGAAACATCTCACCTCATCCTGAGCGCGCGCACACAGCAGCCTCCCCCCCCCCTCACTCCCACCAGGCTGGGGCGGACTCAGACCCCTTCATCCTGGCCTACATGGTAGCAACCAGGCCTGATCTCTGGCACTCACCTCATGGTGTCGTGGGGCGGGGGTTTTGTCCCTTCTGACTGGAGCAGGTGGGGGGAAGCGAAGTCCTTTATGGGGAGAGGCTGACTATCGCTGTTCAGCATCATCTCAGCGTCTACACAGGAGAGAGGGGAAACCACAGGGACTCCTGAGTCCTGTCTGGCTCCTGATTAGCATCCGTCGTCCTATTGGGCCACATCCCCAGGGAGATCTGACGATGCACAGAGCCTTGCCCAGGCCCATCGGCTCATCAGTGAGAGGGTGACACTAACTAGCCAACAGAGCCCATCACCGAACACCTGCCCTGCTACCAACCTACCCTGGACAGACCTGCATTTTGGCTTTGATTTGCTAGCCAATGGCAGTGGGTCCAGCAGGGCCATTCCACTGTGTCTTATGCTCTGTGTGGATGGCAGGGAGCTGCAGCCACACCCAGCAGCCTCTCGCCTAGCTCATGGCAGGTGTTTGTAGCATGTTTTTATCCCCAGGGTCCAATGAGCAGGACACGGGGCCCATGAACTACAGGTGTTGCTGTGGCAGCCGGCTGGGCCAGTACCCACCATGGAGAAGACAAGTACTGAATTTGACATGGCTGCAGGGGGAGGGGGAAGCTGCAGAGTTCTTGGGTGGACCTGACAGCTGCTGTTCACACAGCGGTACGGGAGGATGGGGCGTTTCCTCCCCGAGGTAGGGACTGGTCTGGCCGACCCAGAGGGGAGACAATTTTCCATGTGCCTTGTCGCTTCCCCAAGACAGTCAGGCATGTGGCTGAGACACAGTGTGTTCCACCCACTGCTAACAAACCACGAGTGATCCCAAGCCATGGAGCTGGGGAGCACGGCAGGACAGAGCCTGTCGCCCCTGTAGGCAGGGGGTAGAAAGGTCACGTGCACTGAGGGCCTCCTCTTAGTACCCATCACCAAGCCAAAACCACCTGGCACCATTAGCGGTCTCTGCTCAGGATTGGAATAGCAGAGGATGCTGAGGGTCAGGAGGAAGGTGCACTAGCAGGTGATGGATCAGTGGGCTAACGGTGGGGCGAGCGAGAGGGGGGCTGCATCAGGACTGCCACGCAGTAGGTGAATGTCAGGAGAGAGGAGTTACACGCCATGTGCCCTCTGGACAACGCAGCGGCTGCCCAGTTCATTAGCACTGAAGTCACCGCAGCCTTGGGCTCGGGTCCCAAGAACACACTCACCGAGCTGCCAGCCATAAATGGTGTGTACGTTGAACCGCCTGTTAACCTCGGATTTGGCCACCTCGTTCAGCACCTCCTGCAGGCTGCTCTGTAGTGGAGTGGCCTTCCTGTCCTCTGGCGGCTCCGGGGCACTCAGGGCCTCTGGCGGAAGGAAGGGCCCCTCGTAGCCCGGGGACTCCAGCCTGGCGGCAGCGTTGATATGCATCAGTTTGAGCCTGTAGTTCTGTCCTCTGGGCGTCTGGTCGGCTGTTGGGTAAGAAGGGCAGCAATGGAGACCCGGCCCAGGGGAGGGGCCTGGACCGAGGGCTCAGCCACTCAGATCTCCTAAAAGTTCAACTCGGTCCACTTCATAGCAGGAGTCAGGGCTGGTGGGCTCTAGCCCCACATCTGCCACTCGGAACCCGATCCTGCAGGGCCCACAGTGACAAATGGGATTATACGCTGGGGCTTGCCTGCGACAGGAGGGACTGCACTCAGTGACCCAGCAGGGGCACCTACCCCCATCCCCCGCTGCACCTAGCGCCCAATCTCCAGCAACTGGGCAGTTGCAGCTTTGGCAGCACCAAGCCTGTGAGACGGGCTTTGAGAGAGAACCCCCAGTAGCGCGAGGAAGGGACATGCACTCTGCCCGGCACAGGGTCCTTGAGGCGTGTCAGATAAGAGCCCCACGCCAGATGAGATTTGGTGGCACTGGTATGGCACAAGTGTTATCACTGCCCCGTGAGTCTCCACGTCAGGAAAAGCTCTGTGCTACAGAGACGTGAGCACACAGACCCGAGCATGCCCGGCCATAGTTACTCCAGGAGGGAGCGTGCCCATCTCTAGCAGCAGAGCCAGCATCACACGGGAACCCCCCGTCCCAGGCATCACCCTGCTAGACAGACGCCCCCTGTGGCAGACTCCAGAAGCGGCTGTTCTAAGGAGAGGCCGTTGCCAATCCCCTCTGTGGTGCACTCATGCTGAGAGGGGCTGGGGCCTTTCACACTGCTGAGCCAGCAGAACAAAGCTCATTCCCTCCCCACCAGAGCAGCTTTGCAAACCTCAGAGGCTGGGTGTCTGTAGCATGGTTTTATCCCCAGGGTCCAATGAGCGGGACACGGGGCCCACGAACTACAGGTGTTGCTGTGGTAGCTGGCTGGGCCAGTACCCACCATGGAGAAGACAAGTACTGAATTTGACATGGCTGCAGGGGGAGGGGGAAGCTGCAGAGTTCTTGGGTGGACCGGACAGCTGCTGTTCACATACGTCCTTCCCAGACTTTAGGATTCAGCGGGAATGGGTGGGGGAGTGCAGGACAGAGCAGCAAACTAGCTGTTAACATTTTAGAGCTGTGCTCAGACTCCAGCGTCCAGGACAAGTCAAAAATCCAAGGCTGGTGGCATCAAACCACTTCTTGATGAAGAGTTACCCACATCAGGAAATACACAGCACCAGTGTGCCCAGGGCTGGGACAGCAAGGGGGGCACTTACAATGCATCAGAAGGGCGATGTGGGGCCAGGACTGGAGTAGCCCAGGGCTGTAGATCAGCAGAGATGCCCACGGGCAGATCACTGTGGGGAGGACACACTCAAGCCAGTGCTATTAGCACTTCATTTTCATGAGCGTGGGGCACGGGTCACTTGCTGGAGGATTCTCTGCACCTTGAGGTCTTTAAACCACGATTTGAGGACTTCAAGAACTTAGGCATAGGTTAGGGGTTTGTTACAGGAGTGGGTGGGTGAGATTCTGTGGCCTGCGTTGTGCAGGAGGTCAGACTACATGATCATAATGGTCCCTTCTGATCTTAAAGTCTATGAGCATCACACTCACTTCCACCCCGCTCCCCATCACACCCACAAACCCAAACGCGAATGCCCAGCAGAGATTAGGAGCTAGTGCTGCTGGGTCAGCCACAGCCCCCATGCCCCACGGCCTGGCTGATGAATTATTCATGTGCAGAAGCCATCAGCGCTTTGATGTGCTTCCCAAAGCAGTGGAATCCCCAGGACTGTCCTGGGGGTTATAACAGGCAGCAGCGAGGCCAGCTCCCCATATGTGGCCCAGGCTGTGGGGAGGGGAGACAGATACCATCCCTCATTCAATCCTTCATCTCTCTGCTGAGACTGTTACAACGGGGCCACCAGGTGGTGGATGTCTGACATGACATCCGTTGGCAATGGAACTGAAACTACATTCATCTCACCCCCATGGGATGGGCAATGACAGTCACCTGGGCCAGAGGGGAACTGACAACCTGGAGGACAAAAGTGCAATATTCCCATTCCCTTGAGCTCTCAGGATCTCCTATGTCTTAAAAGGCTCCCCCCCCCCCTCCATCCCGACTGGCAGATGCAGGCACACCCCACGTCTTTGACATCTACATTTACCTAGAAGCTGCCTATAAAACTGTGGGGCCAGCACGCTTTGCAGGTAGGGAGTCTTCGCCTGCTGCAGTACACACAGTGACCACACCAGGTCTGTCAGCAGGTGCGGGTTCAGGCTGCCCAGTTGGTCACCAAGCTTCTCATGGATCTAGGGAAGGAAAGTCACACGCTGTCAGATGGGTTTCCTGGGCTGGCTCTTCCTAGCTCTGCCAGGAATTCAGAGGCCACTGGACCGATACCTGGGTGGCTTGGCCTGAACACAGCTAATGAGAGACATCGTAGCTAGAGAAACACTTCTCCCAGCAGAGAGGGTATTTGCAGTCAAGGGATTTTTCTCATTTTGGTTCTTTGGAAATGTGGAAGTGGGTTGCCCGGCAAGACTCTCTCTGAATGGTACATGCTCTCTAGGGTTTGTTATTGTAGGATTGCTACTACAGAGGCAGCACACACCACTCATTGTACGCTTGCTGCTCTCTGAAAGGCCACAAACTCACTACAACCGGATCACTCCATTTTTCATGGACCAGACAGCACCGAGGGCCGTGGGATGCTTCAAAGCCATCTGCGTGAAGAACACGGCCTTCGCCCAGGAATGAACGGGATGAGAAGCCTTGCATGCCCTCCCCGGCCGCAGTGGGGTGCCAAGCGTCATCCTCCTCCTGAGAACACCTGGATCAGTTGTGCTGACAGGATGTCCCTCTGGGTCCGCAGCAAGCAGCCGGGCAGCTCCACCACTGCAGGGCCTCTTACCATTATACCGAGGTTTTGTAGGCAGAGGCTTTCATAGACTCCCAGAAATGAAGGGCTGGGAGGGACCTCAAGAGGTCATTTAGTTCAGCCCTCTGCACTGAGGCAGGACCAAGTAAACTAGCCCACCCCGACAGGCGTTCATCCAGCCTGTTCTCAAAACCTCTACTGACAGGGATTCCACAACCTCCCCTGGATGTTAGTCCAGAGCTTAACTATCCTCAGAGCGAGAAAGTATCCGCCTTGTTGCAGATTAAGCCCATTTATGTCTTGTCCTGCTTCTGGTGGTCAGCATCCTCTTTACAACAGACCTTAACGCATTTTTAATAAGCCAAAGTTGGTAGTTTATGGCTTAATGAACTGCCTCTTTAGAGATGCCGTCTAATTCTGGTGTCCGTGACAACCCTGCAGACCGGGGCCCTCGATCAATGCACACAACAGGCATGGGGCGGCAAGGCAAGCTGTCCCAGGCACTGCCCTGCCACTGTGCCTCCCCCTGGCCCTGAGAGAGACCCCATAAGGGTGAGTGGCCCCATGGAGACCAAGCAGAGGCCCCAGAGGTTGGTAAGTGAATATGGAAAGGAGTGGGGGAGCGGAACAGACCAGAGGACAACTCCTGGAACTACAGACCTCAGACCATCTCTGCACTTTGGCTCCAGGGAAGTGGTCGCTTTGGTATGTGACAGCTCAGCAGATGGTACAGAGACAGTTAAGCCTGTGGCCAGAGCAGGCCAAAGGACAGTGGGGGAAACTGAGGCGAAGGTGCTGCAATGCCACATCCAGCCAGGAGGGGCTGTGTTGAGGCAGAAGCTTTGCTACCGGGTGGCTTATTGATCTTCCCTCTCTCAGTCCCCAGTCAGACACACCCTTCCTTTAAATACCTGGCCCAGTCCTATGACAGGCAGGTTTGCCCGTAACCCTTTCCTGACAATTGTTTTACCCTATCACATCATCCATAGCACGGGGCTTCCGAGCCAATGCTTGACTGAAAACACTGAGCCTAGCACTTTGACATACGCAGCAGGAGGAGCGAGTGCCAGGCCCTGCTGGGATGCCCTGCTTCCTGTTCGCAAGAGCTCGGATCCAAGGACTTCACTGAGCAAACGTGAGCACTTACTCGAGACGACCTGCGGTGCCCCCCGGGTTTGGACAGACTGTAGATCATGCATGTGTTCTGGGAGATGGGTGTGTGACTGCGGGGCTATGGCATGGCTGTCCTGTTTCCTACAGAAGTCAGGGCTGGAGATCTTCTGGACACCCCTAAGTCTGCAAGCTCAGATGTCTTCAGGAGATCTGCAGCCTTGGCAGACCTGGCTCTGGTTCTGATGTAGCCTGAGGGCGTGACGGGGACGGGAGGGGCGAGAAACGTTACCATGTTATAGAAGTTCTCGCTGCGGCTGGGCTGGAAGTTCAGGCGGGCGAAAGACAGGATGACGTTGCACAGCCTCAGTGTGTTGAATCTGTCGGCATTGTCCAGGGTATACTGGAAAGCAGAGAGGGAAAGCGGTAAGTGTGGACCCAAACTGCTCCAAAGCAAACACGGACACTGACGCTTACAACATCCAACCCATGGACAGCGCTGCCCTGATGACGCAGGGCGGAAATAAGCCAAATGGCTCCTATCGACCTGTCAAGGACTTTGTATTAGCATCCAGCACTATATTGAAGGAGCACAAAGATACGGGGGTGTGAGCATAAACCGAGATAGGCAGAATACCCCAGCTGTCAGATGAGGAAACGGAGGCACAGACAGGTTAGTTGGGGCTGAGCTGGGGTTAGTTGCCAAGCAGTCCGGGGCTCCCCCCAATGATCCCCTCAGCGTTAGCTGCTGCCACACCAGGCAGCCATCTGCAGCGAGCCAGCTCTGATGTGCCCCACATGGTGACCTCCAATATAGAAGAGCCATTTGAGCCATTTTTACAGTCAAGTCAAAGAGCTGCGTGCGCTACCACTGAGCAAGACATCAGCTTGGTACCATAGTGCTCAGACTTTCTAGACTTTACAAATACATCTCAGCATTGTTACCCTATCTTACAGCTGGGGAAACTGAGGCAGAGGGGCCCAACAATGGCTGTTTCCCCCTTTCCTTCCTCACTCAAATCTCCTCACCTGAGTGAAGGCCTCGAAGAGGGGTAGGCTGAGCCACTTGAGGTAAGCGAAGGACTTAATGCAGCGCCCCACGTCGCCAGGAGTCATCTCGAACACGCGGGCGTGCAGGTCTGATGCCATCTTCTGGAAGACCTGGGTATCGTGGAAATTCAGCTTTCCTTAAAGAGGCAGAAGAAATCAGCAGCTGCTGAGGAGGAGTCAGCCAGGAGCTCCAAAGCACTAGTGCGAGCAGTGCAAGGGGGGAGCAGGACGTCTGGGGGGTAAGGCACAGGGGGAAAACGAGCAAAAGCATCAAGCCGTATTCCTGGAGAGGTAGAGGCTCTGTGTGAATGCTGTTCCCTTCCCATCTCTAAATCAGATCTTAGCTGCAACTACAGAGAACCAGGCCAGGCCTCTGCCCCAAGCCCATCAGCCTCTCTCGATCACCAGGCGGTGCTGAGAAGGGATGCAGACTAATGATGCTGGCCTGTGCTGGGTGTCTGGAGGAGATTTTTATCCCCCATCTCTAGACAGACATGGCATGAACAATAGGCGCTTCTGTGGCAGCTACCTGGGCCAGTACCCGTCGCTGAGGAAGAGAGCACTGCATTTGACAAGGCTGCAGAGTGCTTCACACCTGATGCTAGTCTGACTGTAGGCTCATTAGCTAATACCAAGGGGCAGCATAAATCCCGTAGAAGTACTCATGATATCCACATGAATGCTGAGCCAGCCCACCAGGTGAAACGTGCAAGGGGAGAGTCAGACAGACAGCCCCAGATAGGCGCATGGGGGCTTTGTGTTTGAAACCATCAAGCAGCACTGTTACACTGATGCTGATGTAATCAAATCGAAGTACTAGTGGGAAGAGGTGCGGTGACAAGGGCCAGGAGGCAGGAACTTTGCAGTTGCTAGCTCAGCTTTCTCGGATTCCCTTTCTGGCATATCATTTAACCTTTTGGGGCCTCAGCTGCACCAACTGCGTAATAGAGATAATATTCTATTTCCCCAAGGCTGTTATCAATGTACTTCAAGTGTCTGCAAGATGAAAATAATTTGAGATCAAAGTGCTAGCATGTTCATTTATTTGCCTTCCTAATCATATAAACAAACCCACGTGCACAATTTCAGAATGCAGAGCTCCAGATAGTCCCATGCCAGTGGGTGCGTGTCCCTACAGCTCTGCACCGAGGGATGGTACTCACTTTAAATTCTTCATTAAATCCAAACAATGTTCTTAACACACAAAGGAGCTTGTCTTGGCTCAGGAATAAATTCGCTGCAAGCTTGAAGTTAATATTAAGCTGTATCCGAAAACAAAATCAGGACTTTGGGTGATGGATGTTACAGAAAATAGGGAGCAAAAGAACCACCATCATAGGTGAGGAGTGTTGTGGGCAAAAAAAATCCCCAGAAACAGACAATACCAAGGGAAGTAAAACAGTGTCAGATAGGCCAGGAGAGCTCTCCAGAAGACAGGGACGAGAGAAGAAAAACCTGTGAAAGTCCACCAGAGTAATATTGAATCACTGAATCCTGCCGAGTTAAAAAGTTTGGAAAAGAACTTAAGTTCAGTTATGGTCAGGGTGGCAAACTGGTACCTAATTACTGAACAGATCTGCTCCAGGAGTTTGAGTCGTACCTAAGCGACATCTGTTATCTCTGTAGAACCACCGCAGCTCTGGGAGGGCGAGCAGGACTCTTTCTGGCTCACGCCACCAGAACCGTTTTCTAACTACATTCTAATGGCAGAATTTCCGTGAAAATGCACGAACCAGCAAGAGTCTAGTAAGACTCTAAGACTGTAGGAATTCTGGGGCTGGCAGTCAATAGAGGTATCGTATTTGTTCAAATCCTCATAGATGTTAAGGCCAGAAGGGACTAATCAATCACCCAGTCTGACCTCCAGTATAAAACAGGCCAGAGAATTTCAACCCAATCCCCCTGTATTGAGCCCAGTAACTTGTGTTGGACTAAAGCATCTTCCAGAAATGCATCCAGCGTAGATCTGAAGACATCAAGAGATGGAGACTCCACCACCTCCCTTGGTAGTTTGTTCCAATGGTTCATCACCCGAATTACAGGCGAGATGATCTAGTTCAGACTCACTGAGAGAAGCAGGGAATGCTCTGAATGCCATTTCTACTGTCGCTTTTTAGAGTATAACCACCCCGTCTAGGACTAGTCAGTTGGTCTAGTTCAGCCAGTTGGTCGCATGCAAGACAGACAATGAAGTGGACTGCTCAGCTGGAATCAGCCTGTTTATAGAGGGGCTCGTGTCACAGTTTTACCTGGTAGGAGGATACACTGCCCATTTGTCTGGACTGTTACCAACAAGAAAGCAGCATTTGTGATGTCCTGCACAGGATGAGAGGCAAAATGTCTAAAGAAACCATTAGCCAGCAAGGAGAGGCCAGAGAACTAAGACACCCATTATTATGCCTATGGGTGTGTTACTTTCTGCTCAAATTAATGTTGTTTATACGTAAGCAAACTATGACTAGGTCCATTCTAGTGATGGATCAGAAAACTCTGATCTACTCTGTAGCTTGCAAACAGAGATATCCAAGTTAAGACTGAAATACATTGGCCCACCACATCCAAGAGCACAGGCAGAGACCTACTGTGCTATGTAGTATATTAGCCACTGGATAAAATAGTATCACTTTACAAATATTCCTGAAGTAATACTTCGATGGGGAGAGATCAAATAATTTTGTGACGTCACCCCTTTACGCCTAATTCCATCTGAACAATCCAGTTCGTTGCCAATCCCACAACCACAGCACTTCTGACCTGTTGAAACAGGCAGATAGTAAGACTTACACCTTTTGCAGGTGGGGAAACTGAGGCACATAGGTTAAATGACTTGCCTTTGGTGACAGAGGGAATCCGCTGCAGAGCTGGGACTCAAATCTGGGAATTTCTGGCTCCCTACTGTGTGCTCAGAGAAGTTCTCTTTCAAACTGTGCGGGTTTAAGTAGTTTTCTATGAAAGCCTTTGTTGCTAGAAGTCTGTGGTAGGTGTGGATGGTGACGCTTAATGCACTATTGGATACAAGGGTGATGAGCATGATAAGAAACTAAATAGAACAGAATGCAAAAGCTGAGCGAGCTGGTAAGGGCTACGTTGTAACTGACAAAATCAATTCCATTGCAGGTGTGTATTAGAGGTACCAAATAACTCAACAGTTACCTCCCCAAAGCTGGGTCAAGAGAGATTTCAACCCACTGGGTCAAGTTATTTGTATTTGAATGTATGAGCTTAGAACGCTCAGCCAGGACGGCATCATCATGGTAGTGATGTCCTAAAGTCCTAGTTCAACGCAATGACTGTGCTGCACTGGACTCTGCTGGTGTGATACTTGACTGAGTAGTTCAGGGGATGGCTGGACTCACTTACCATATGCAAAGGCCAAGTCCACCAGAATGCTAGTGCTGAGGGTAAAGTGCTTCTGAACCAGATGGTAGGAAATGGCCCGGAGCAGGGGGACAGAGCGCCGCTTCTGGATCGCTAAAGCTAATGTCAGTTTCCGAATGTCCTCAGCAGTGAATTGCTCGGCTAATTCCAAAGCCTGCCAACAGACATTAAGCATAGAGAGTAAAAGTGGGATAAAACTATTTACACGATTAATCACTTACATATCTGGCACATTTCACAGTATCTTACAAAACACCCTCTCAAAGATCATCCAGCACTGAAATGCAGCCACCTCTGGAGCAGAACATAGCAGCTCACAGTAATAAACAGTATGAGATATGATGTGAAAACCATTGTATCCAGAGGGGAGAATTAAAGGAGGCAGAATGTAATTACTTCTGACTGAATGTGGTCAGGGTATCAGTGCTACACTGATTACTATGCAAAAAATACTATGGGACCTATTACAACCACAAGTGGCCAGTATGGACTCAATACAGGAGCAACTGGGTGAAATTTATAAACATAAGAATGGCCATACTGGGAATGGTCCATTTAGCTTGTATCCTCTCTTCTGACAGTGGCCAATGCCAGATGCTTCAGAGGGAATGAACAGAACAAGGCAATTATCCGTCCTGTTGCCCAGTCCCGGCATCAGTCAGAGGCTTAGGGATACCCAGGGCACGGGGTTGCATCCCTGACCATCTCGGCTAATCCCTGTAGGAGCCTGACTATTTATTCCTACCCTTTGTTTTCTGTCTGTTAACCAGTTACTGAGAAGACCTTCCCTTTTATCCCAGGACTACTTAGTTTGCTTAAGAGCCTTTTGGGAGAGACCTTGTCAAAGGCATTCTGAAAGTCTAAGTACACTATATCCACTGGATCACCCTTGTCCCTGTTTGTTGATCCCCCTCAAACAATTCTAATAGATTGGTGATGCATGATTTTACAAAAGCCATTTTGACTCCTCCCCAACAAATCGAGTTCATCTATCTCTATCAACAACTCATGTCTGATAATTCTGTTCTTTAATTCAGTTTCAATCAATTTGCCTGGTACTGAGGTTAGGTTTACGGGCCTGTCGTTACTTGGATTGCCTCTGGAGCCTTTAAAAAAAAAGACCTTTCCTATGCAGGAAAGGAGACTAGATGATGGAACGGTTCCTTCCGGCTTTAAATTCTGAGCATATGTTTACATTTCATCCAAAAGACAACAGCACTCTAACTTTAAGGGTTTATGCCGGGCTCAGTCCCATGGGATCTGAGCATCTAAACCAATGCACCAGCAAAGTGAGTACTGACACAGGGGAAAGAGTGTCCCCTAGTGAATCACTAACACCATTTCCTGGTGTTTCCCTTGGAATCTCACCAATTACTAACCTTACCCCACTGTGTTTAATTTGCTATCTGGCAAGATCCTAACCCAACCAGTCTAAACTGTGGTATTTTTATTAGCATATACCAATGTCTGTAGCAAATATTTATCCCCAGGGTCCAGGAAGAGAGAGACATGGGGCCCATGAACTACAGATGTTTCTGTGGCAGCTCTTTGGGCCAGTACCCACCATGGAGAAGGCGAGTACTGAATTTGACATAGCTGCAGTCAAACAACCACCTAGAGATCTCATTGGTGGTTTCAACCTGGGGAGCGTTTCCCCAGCCCAGATCACGTGCCTGAAGGACATCTAGTAAGCACCGGAACAATGAGCTAATCCACGGGCACAGGCCTGCAAAGCTGTGATTCACGAGCCATCTGATTCAGAACCAGGCTGAACTGGAAGGAGAGAGGAATGGAAAGGGAACTAAGGTAACATTCCTTTTCTCCCAGTCTGTGATAATTTAAAGGGGGGGGGGGGGGGAGGATCTCAGGGGCAGCCGTGC